AAATAGGAGATGTTAATAGACCATGAGAGTTCTTTTGTTATATGGACTCTCTCGGAATCTGATGTTAACTCTCTTGCTAGTTGTTCAGCACATGAGCTCAGTGTGCGGCCCAAGACATTGTCTGGTTCTGCTGCTTTGTTGACATATATTCTCATCAGACTGGATCTCATTTGGTGATGCTGTAGGATGCTTCTCTTTGGTTAGTGTCATATTATCTCCAATTCTGTTGTTTTGGTGGTCAAAGCAAGCAAAGAACTGGTTCCAGTCATGAGGGAGTGTGGTGTTTTTACTTGTCTGTGGGGTGCAGCTCTTCTTGTAGTCTGTTATGGCCTCAGTACCTTTCCATATGTTGTGGGGGTTATTGTTCCTGAAATGCCCTTCAATGCATTGTTTGTACTTGCTGTTTGTCTGCTCCCTGTTCAAACACGTCCTGGTCAGTGCTCTCAGTCCTGCAGCCGTGACCAGGTTTGGCCAGTTTTAACAGTTGATTTTGTTCTGCAGATTAAAGGTTTGTAGGATGGCATCATTTATACTGAAATGTGATCTGACAGTCCAGAGTGTGGGGATGGGATGGTCTCAGCATCAAAATATACACAACTTTTGCATTAATACCATGATAATTAATGTGACCTGGGATAAAAAAAACAGATGCAACCATGTCTGTAAGTCTGACTGTAGAGATGAAGCTGTAGCTCACTGCAACATTGAACTGCTCCCATTTTAGGACATGGCTCATCTGGAATAGTAAAGGGCATATGGCTTCAAGTGTTGTCACTATGATGACCTTGTGTAGGTAGAGACATGACACACTCTGTACAAAATCTCATGTTACAGTCTAAAGAAGCTGGCAATACATTAATGGAAGTCAAACCATCCTATAGGGTCATTTAAGTTATTATATCATTCACTAGATAGTTATTGTTTCTTGTGATTTGTCTCTCTGTTGTAACAATCAGGAGGTAATGGACAAATACACATACCGACATCACACACATGCACACACACACACACAGTCAAAATACAGGAATGAGAGGTTTAACTGGCAAGAGCTTAGGATAGATTTCCTAGACCATAAAGCACACATGTCCCAATGAAAATATGAGGGAAAGACCTCAGTCAGTATATAACATGAAACAGATGTTTATCACCAATATCCTCTGTTACTACTATAAGCAATAAAGTTTCACATAACTAAAATAAAAACTCCATTTCAGTTTGTCAAATTCATTGTGCTTTAAAAAAGATTTATTTGAAAGTGACTGCTGCTGCTCAGAGCACAGTGTCCTGCCCGATAATCCCAGTTCTGGTGTCATCATTGAAGATGATGCCATTTTTCTCTGAAGCACACTTCAGTTGTGTGTGAGTATGTGAAAGGGTGCTGTGTCTGTGTATCTCCCTCTCTCTCTCTCTCACAGATATATAGATGGATAGATAGAGATATATAAATACACACATGTGTGTGTGTGTAGGTGTGTGTGTGTGTGTGTGTGTGTGTGTGTGTGTGTATGTGTGTGTATAGTACTGTATGTGCGTTTGGGGTCTGACTGCCTGACTACATACACAACAGCATTTTACTTCTGGCACTCAGGGCAGTGGTTACCCTGCTGACCTTGTGGATCTGTACCGGCAGCATGCACACAATGAACACACACACATAAAAACACACACATGCACACACTCAATCCTGAGCTTCCCTGGCAGTTCCACAGCTGGAAGTAATGAAGGGCCCCATTGGAGGGATTCAGAGAACACCCCACAATTGCCTGACAGAAAGGCCCAAATTGTTAATGGGGACCACACTCATTTTCCCATTTCTAAAGGAAGCCTTTTTTTCCACCTCTCTCCTCATCTCTAAATGCCTCTTACTGCTGCAGGAGAGAGTGAGTGTCTGTCTGGCCATCTCCAGTGGATTGCTTGGATATAAATGTTTTCACTAGTGAACAAATAATTTAAATGCATTTTTTTCACCATCAGGGATAATAAAAAATAAAAATAGGATAAAAATTTAAAAAATAATTCAGGTTTCATTGTTGTTTCCCAGGTATATGGAGCTTAATTTTACAATTGACAGTTATTTATTTGTTAATCGTTTCTGTTCAGGTGTGTTTACTTGTGTGTCTCATACTTGATACAGCCGTCACAGTCAATGTTGCCTGTGTTCTCTTTGATGGTTCTCTCGGAGATGAAGGCTGGATACTCTGTGTCACATGGTACCTGCGTGGTCCGACCTACCCTCTGAGCTAAAGGGACGGGATGGAATGAAGAAAGAAAGAATGAATGAATGAAGCATTGCACAGAAAATGAGTATAAACCTTGAAGAAAGTCATGAAACAGCCATTTTAAAGTCAAATATATAATATTAGAATAGTTATGCAAATATACTATGAGCAAACATGCCTCGCAAATATACAAGTTTGAACGAAAATAGCAGTTCTGAACAAGTGCTGCCTCTTGTCCTGCTGGAGATACAGTATTTCCAGTGTGAATCCAGGTTTGCCATTAACACAACATTGCTTGAACTCTCCTGCCACCCAGAGGTTTGAAACAGCACTACACAGCTGGGAAGGAGTGGGTAGGCAAGATCATACAGTATTTTATTTGGGTTAGTATTTTGAAAGCAGACTTATTAAAGTGGGTGCTAATATAAGCTTAATTTGCATATTAAACATAAAAAGAGGTGGTTTTATTTTGTGTGTTCATTTTTTCCAAAGTGCTCTACATGTTTAAAAGATAGTGAATTATGAGTGTGATTTGCATGGAGTGGTTTAATTACTGGGTGTTATTTAAATGCAGTGAAAAAATGTGTGTAAAAATGTGTGTATGTACAGCTGTACATAAACTATATGCATGTGAGAAACAGAGCCTACATGTATAAACAGCTGGGATTAGTTCAGCTTGAGAGGCTGTGTAGATTGGGTTACAGGCTGCTAAGATAGGGTGTTTCAGTTGTGTGTCACAGGCCTGTGTTTCTATTGTAAAAATATATAGAAAGTGCTGCTAAGACCTGAGGCTAGCCAGCTGTGAAATTGTCTTGACTGCTTGGCAAGCGGCTCAGCTTCACTTGGTTCAGGATAAGAGTGTGCAAGAAAGCATTTTTAGACTTTCATTTTGTGATTCTCATTCTCTCTCTCTCTCCCATTCATATACAAAATAGGTTCATATTAGTTTTAGCTAGAATTACAATAAATGCACATTCCTAAAAAACTTGCAAAAACACAACAAGCTGCTTTTATTAGTAGTATTTTTATTATTATTATTATTGTTATTGTTGTTATTATTATTATTAGCCTTTGTTATTATTATTTCTTTTTTCTTGGTTTTTGCGTGTGTGTTTCTTACATTATGGTGTCTACCACTACTAATGTTATTTTTACTAATACTATTATCTTTATGTCTGTTGTTAGCATTACTGTTGACCACATTATTATCATGACATACCACATTCTCGTTTTTCCACTCTTCATCAATATTAGAATATAATCTGCCCCCACCCTGTCCCCTCCCTTTTTTTTTTTACTTTTTATTTGTTATTTCACTATTAAATTGATTATTTATTGTATTATCTTATTTATTCACTCATCTTTCTTCCCCATCAACATATTGGGAGGAGTTGTATGGGTGATGTTCTGCCCTGTCCGTTCCGTCAGCTGGGGCATGTGATTAGGGGTCGCTCTGGGGAGCCTGGATTGAGCAAAGTGGGGGCAGGGGAAGGCCACATAACTGCTCCCTTTCCCTCACTCAGACATGACATCAATGGAGTGCTGACAACCTCATGGACAGGCTCTCTTCTCAGGGTCTGGGAGCTGTTTATGAGGGGAATACATCAGGCAATGGGTCGGGTCTCTCCATTCAAGGTCAGGGACCAGCCCCGAGCTGCATAATTTCAGTCCCACAATGGAAACAAATCATGATAAACAATAAAACAGAGGAAAGGTTGAACTTAACCATAAAATAAAGATGCTGCTGTCCTGGCTGACCTCACCCTCCTGGGCGGTTCCAGAGCTCCCCAGTGATGACCTCATCTCGCTGCAGTGCTTGTGATTCAAAGTGGAAATATCACCTGTCTTTATTACTTATTTGCTGGTTTAATTCATTTTATTTCTTCCTATTCAAATTTTACTTTATTCAATTTTTGTTTTGTTTTGTAGATTGCTTACGTTGAAGCTACCCACACTTCACATACACACACAAAACCAATGTAAAACCCTCTATGCCTCTTTTGTAACGTCTTATATCTATTGTCTTGTCCACGTCCTGCCCTGTTTTGTTAACGTGCTATTTTGTGTTACCAAAAAAAAAAAAAAAAGTTAGTGAGGTTTTCATTTCAGACAAGCAAACCATATTCAGCATCCCATAAAACATTAAGCATCACAGCACACATAGCTTGGCAGTAATCATATGAGAATGTTTGGCATTCATGGGAGAAAAGAAAGGAGACGCAAAACCAGAGGAGAGAAAGATAGATAGACTAAGTAAGAAAAAAGAGAAAAATAATGATCCTGTTATTGAGCAAATATTGCTTTCCACACACATCATTACAGATCACAAAATCATCAAGTATAACCCTCTGGACACACAAACAAATACAAATGTATGTGTCAGATATACACATACAGTACGCACACACCCTCTTTCACATGAAGGCCATGAGACAATCTCATGTTCTGCCATTTTTACTTTTAGGTTTTGGATTGCACTTCTTTATTCTGATTTTCCAGTGGCCAGTCTGGAAAAACAGAAGAAATCGAGGGAAAATGGCAAAAACAGCAGGTCAGAGCTGAGAACACTGGTTGCTCTTTGTTTACACAAAAAACTTTGTTCCATGTGAACTCAAATATACAGTAAGTATGTAAAAATGATGCTCTATGGATTAGTGTGTGTTTTTAATGTCTGTTACTTCAAAAATATATATTACATTATTTAACAGAACTGGCCCATATTTCCTGAAACTAAGAAAGAAAATGTTTTAATGTTTTCTTGATATTCTTTTCTCTCTTTTGCAAAACAGGAAATAAGACAAATATTTCTAAAAAATACAAAAAAGAAAATTACTGTATTGTAATTTTATTTTTTTTATTTTTTTTTATCTTTACTGTTGCAGTTTTACTTTTACAATTCAAAACACAAGACCCACCAAACAAACGAAACATTTCAGTCTGACAAATATAATTTAAAACTTTTAGCAGCTGCTAGTGATTTCGTTAGTTTTGATTAGTGTGACAATAAGTTTTTGAGTTGTGAAACTCAGCATTTGGTTAAAACAATTTTTAATGTACAGCAGTTGAAATGGAGGGAACCTGACTTTCCATTTAGTGTATAGTAATTACACAAAAGCACAGTAAAAATTCAAAATGTTCTTATATCATGGTTATAACTTATTACCAGATAATAGTGATAATTATTAGAGGAACAGCATTATTGTACATTTAATTCATATCATATGTTCATATGGCTATTTTCAACTACAGCAGATATTGAACATATAGACTTATAAGCCATTTTAGCACACTTTAAAGTATATATGATAGATGTATTATTTGAAATGAATAATAATGTTTTATGTATGTTTAAAAAAGCCAATCTTACAATCAGGAGCTGTATGCTAAACATTTACTGTGCATATGTGTGTGAGTATGTTTTAGAGCACATCCTGGAAGAATCCGTTCTTACCTTTAGTTGTGAGGTCAGAGTACCACCAGCTGTACAAGTTGAACTCAACCAGGAATCTAAATATGAACAAGACACTGACCATAACAATACGGCCCAACATATGCCTATATAACAGACAGTGTAATACTCTCTACTGCATGGCAACAATTTTTACCAACACAGTAATACCTGCAAAATTTCAGAAAGAATATTTTTTTTATAAATTATAAACATACAACACAGATAACACAGTGATATATATGATTACTACTAGTTTCTTAGATGCCTCTAATGCCTTAAATCAAATGAATCTCAAAATAATGTTCTCAAAAAGTGAGTGCAAAATTCTGGTTTATTTGTATCCCTACTGTACAAGACCTGCAGGTTTGGTGGTGATACTGTGTTTTTGTTTCAGTAATGTAGGAAATGTAGCCTTGTGAAGGGTCTATCTTGTATAACTTGTCCATCCAATAATATGTGATAAGAAATAAAATACTTTGGCCCTTCAGTTCTAATCTTACACAGTTTTTGAATCATTAGCAAAACAGGCCTATAATTATGTTGATGAATGTCACATTGGATATAATGTAAAATATGTCACGTAATAATAATTATTGAAAAGAGGAAAGTACATATGCCTTTCTTAATTGGAAATGATTTAATGGATAGACCTACAGTATAATGGCAATTTATAAAATGACAGCATATACAGGACTTAACTGCTAAACTAGTGTCAAGGTGCCATTATTATTTAAGGCTAGAATGAACTTTCCACTTACGGTGTATGCACATGTTTTTGAGTTTTTGAACTTTTAGAGCTTTTACATAATTTAGATACATTTTTGTCACCTATATATGCTATATGATCTATTTAGACTTTAATTTCACAAAGAACAAGTGAAATGTTATGTTCCGACAGCAGACCACCCAGAAGACACTGGAACCATAACATGGCATCACAGGAATACCCGTGCTGCAGGAAACATCAGGCAGCCATTACTGCTCATAATCACTGATGATCCACTGATGTGGAGGCACTCGTAAACATGCATACAGCCGATATATACTCACAGACCCACAGTTAACCTCACACAGGAGAGGCCACCATACAAGTCTTCAAAAGCACTTGTATGCAGCAAATATTTGCTATTACAAACAGATAAAGACACCATTCATACACAGAAGTCTTACATGACAAGTTCAGTCAGGATCCACTTCACAGCTGAGAAGACAGCAAAATAAGGCTGAAGAAAAGAGAGAAACCACTGATCATACACAACATAATGTTTACTTTGCATGAGGTGCAAACAATGAGGCTGAACAGTGTGGGAAAAAAACTGCAATACTCACATCCAACAGTGTGTGTCCACTGTCACTACTCTCTGAAAAGACCCAACACAGAGCCTGGTAGTCATACAGAGTGACCCTGAGTAGATAAAAACTGAGTTATAGAGTGAGACAGAGACATCAGAAATAGATAAAATGATATATATATAACAAAAATTTTACATTTCCTACTAATGCTCATGTCACCCAGATAAAGTGATATAATTCTTGATGCACGCATTCTCTCTACTGTTGCATTTTGGACTGCTGTGTGGGAGCAGGAAGGAAAAAGCCCACCTCTGCTAGAACTGCTGCGTAACTATGGATAATATATTAGATGGATGTGCAAAAAATGGGAAAATGAAAGTGTCTGAAAGCCGAGAGCTTCCGGAGAGGTTCCTCAGAGTGATGTAGGAGGGTGTATGTGTGTATATGATCTGGGAATATTGGGGGTGATATCAAGACAATTTAAGAGCTTAACAGACCCTGAGGGTTGTGGTCTGGGCCTTTCTGGGAGAAGTTATTGAAGGGGTTCCTAACATACACACATAACATGTGAACGCACATATAAAACACTACAGTAGACACCCTTTTTTATAGACTCTGGATAAGTTTCTATGTGCTTGCCAATGTCTTGTGTGTGAATGTGTGTCTGAGCATGTGTGCAATCTCTGAGTGGGTTCAGTCTATCCACAGCCCTGGGCTATATTCAAACCTCAGTCACAATACCGGTGACACACAGCTCCAACACGCTGCCAGGAACCAATTAGTGCTAAGCCAGGCCACATCATGGTGTTAGCAGCAAACTTAGACCAATGTAATATTTGTGTGTTTGAATGGCTGTGTGATTTCATATGTGTAGATGGGTATGTCTGTGCGTGTGTGTGTGTGTGTGTGTGCCCTTCATTTCTACTGTTTGAAGAGACTGATAACCCAAAACAATTAGTCTATGTTTGCTTTCATATATAGTTTTGTTAATTTCAAGCCATCAGCTTGTGCCTATTTTAAATGGTGCACTTTAAAAGGTCTATAATTTTTTTAATCAAGACAAAAATTGTGCCTCAGCTCAGCACTGGCAGACGTCACTGGGTTTAGACAGATCATATTGGATTCATTAGTGTTAAGATTTATAAGCACTATTACTCATCATGCTAATACTTCACTGACACAAGCCACATTATTTAGTCATCGTATGTTATCCTCCACTTTAAACAGTCCCTCATTATCTGCCATTAAAATTTCAGTGAAAGTACTTTGGCCTCTTTGCTTTTATGAGTGAGACTGTAAACCATTTGCTGACTGATTTTGAGGTTCATCCCTATGATGAACAGGCGATATGTGTGATGATTTGTTACTGAAACAGCATGGCGGAACTCTCCTCACCCATGTCTCAAAGTAAGACTCAAATGCTGGGTACAGTCTTACTGTAGTGTTGGAAATGTGGTTCTATGTGTCTGTGCATCTAAATTTAAATTTAACAGGGCAGCTAAATTAAGATTTCACAAATGTTAGACCATACCATACTGACTCCACAGTCAAACTATGTGTCTGTCACTGTCTGTGTTTCTGCCCTGTAACACTAGGAAAAATATCCTCCTGGACTAAATTTCCAGATTAATCACAGAAAGTCACCACCCACTGCTCCCGGCGCTTTCCAGGAGACACAACTCTGTGAGAAATAGAATAAGTGTTAATGTGACTGCATGTGTGTCTGCATGTGTGTGACTTCAAGTTTATTCTAATTCCTTCATTTCAGGAAAAGATTTGCTGTAATCCCCTAACGGAGAGCTCCACTGAGTGTGGGGTCAGAGTTCAACACTGAATAGCTCAACATGATGGGCCAAGTTAAGAGCTGTCAGTGTGAGGGGAGACGCGTTCTCATTCTACTTTATATTATGCACATACATTTACACACATACTTGTACTTAACACTTGTTGGCACATATAAGTACACTCTCATACACCCGCACACATGTGCAGCTTGAAATTTTTACCTCTTAAAAGAGCCCATCTGCAGAAGCTTATTCATTACAGCTCTCTCTGCCTCTCCAAAAAATTTCCCAGTCTGAGAAAGAATACAAAGAGATTTTCTTTAATAAAACAAGTCATAATAAAATGTAACTTTAAAAACAATAGTGTTTGTATAGCTGGAAGACCTTGCAGGCACAAAAACTGACACAAATGACCAAGTGGCCCTGGCCAAAGAGGCAATTCAGTCTTAGAGAAACACTATTAAAGAACAAAACAAAGAATACATTATCTCACACAGAAAGCCTCCCAAAGCTTGGGATAGGAAACAGCACCCGCCCCACCGCCCCTACTCCCATCCCAGTGCTTAGCTTGCTTGTCTCCTCAACAGATTATGTGACCTCTATATACCTGACTGAACTATTGGCTGAATCAATCGATCAATCTATTAATTGCATTAGTAATTAGTATATGTAATGTCAGCTGATGTAAAGTCAAAGGTGACATTTTGTTTTTCTTGACTAACAGTTTCAATTCACTATAAAAAGACATAAGCAGCAAATTATCATATCTGACAAGCTGCAATAGAAGATGTTTGAGATCATCAGTGTTGTCCAGTTATTTTTATTGATTTTTTAAATTATTGAAACTGTCTCAACCTTACTCGGATTCTTGGGTGGTCAGTAATATAGTCCATTACCAGGACTGATCTGTCACAAGGCCCCAAGCCAGATGTGTCCACAAGGACAATACTACTAAGTTATTAACCACTGGCATCTGTGGTGGAAAACTTACGTTGAATGGTATGTGTGTGTTATTTAAACAAGTAGGGTGCCACCCACAGACAGTTAGTTGACAGCAAGAGAAGCAAATGTGTCTGTACTGTATGTGTGAAAAGTTACAGCTGCAGCAGCTACATGGCCTAGGCATTCAGAAAGGAGCAGAAGTAAACTCTGAGTTGCTGGAAACTGAGTGAGACAAAGAAAGTGGCTACAGTCTGTATGAAGTTTGAAGGTGTGAGATACAGAAAGGAGGTGCACACTCTGGTATGAAGTGCTCTTGCTATGTGTGCCACGTGCTTAGGCATTAATTTGTATTAAATTTGCATTAATGTGTGACAATACTGTGAAAGGTTGAGTCTGAGTCTTCCATTCATTAACCACATAAGACACAGGACCGGGAGGGTGAACTACAACCTCAGTCCCTCCACATCCCAATCCCATCCCATTTTCTCTCCATAACAACAATGAAATAAAGACACTGACAAGTGGAATCCAAAATGCTTTGTCATCTCTAAATTAAGATAAAGTAAAGTAAAGCTGGCAAGTAAGAGACACATGCAGGGGGTGGAAAAGGGCACTGACAGCCAGCAGACTGGCTTCTAGATGAGCCAAAGCCAGAGTGACAGCATGGCTGGTGACAATTAAGTAGAGGGGATATGGTAGGGCAGCACCATGGCTGACAAATCTGAGAGGTAAACATGCACTATGTATTAAAATTAAAGCTCAGCTCTGATCTTTTATGAGAATTTAAATCCAAAAATAGGTCATATATTATGAAACAAAGTCAGTCTGAGATGACATGGTTTTGATAGCTCCTACTGAATTACAATAACAGCTTTCACTTGTTTTCTGCTTGCAAAGAAAACAAAAATGTGTTCATTCTTACTGTTTCCACTTTAAAACAGACTGCTGTACAAGAATTGTCAGTAATATTTCTTTATCTTGGTTCAATGTGTATATGTATATGCATGTCTTACCAGAGTATAGTCCTCTGCTACCAGAATGAAACCATTGTTGTCAATGAGGTAGCAGTTAATATCCTGTTAAATAAAAACAGTGTTAATGCAGCCATAAGAAGTAAGAGTGACAGAGTCAGCTAAGGTTTACTGAGAAAAGGAAGTTTGACCAACCTCATCATCACAGCTTATGGAGCATTTCCCATCTAATGCTGCACACTGTAAGATAATAAAACTTATTTGGACTTCACATCAAATATTGAGGCACTTTGTTTGAGAACAAAGCCTTCCTCTTACCGCCTCCTGTCACTATTTGAGATTCACAAGTGTGGAAGTGTGTATGTATTATATATACAGCGTGTTGATATGCAGGGTGTGTATTTATGTGTACCTGTCTGCTGGCTGTCCAGAATTTCCTCTGAAAGAACTCCAGTTTCATCTGGATGCCCACAGCTGAAAGAGAGACAACACAGTCAAGGGACATGTGTGTACTCTCTGTGTTGAAGTACACGTGCACTGTGATCTTTATAACAACATAAGTCATACTATAGTAATGAATGAGATTATTAATATAAACACGGAGTCAAAGTGCATCTTTCATTAACCATAAATGAGGGAAAACACACATTTCCACCACTGCACACCCTTGCTTGACAAAATGGGCCACACAGGTGATAACATGCATCATGCTGTACATGTATAAGCTTATTTTGTGAGAATACTAAATGTCCTTGTGTGTAATACTATATTAGTTGGACACATCTGCACAAATGCCACTAACCACCTCAAAATGCAATTGTACACAATTCTAAACCAGAGCTCTCTCTGTGCACACAGGAAACCCAGCCCATTCCTCAGTCTGCTTCCCTGTTGATACCCCAACAGGCACTTCCAAGAGCTGGTATACAGAGCTCCTCTTATTTCCATAAGCCTCATGGCAGCACGTCCCTAAATGCAGATCTTAGCGGAATTCCTGACCTTGAAAAACAGTTGCTGACATTTTTGTCATCTTTTTTTCCCAGAATTGGCTGAGGAAAAACTGACACATGTACCACAAGTTTTAACTTCTCAACCTTCAACCCCATCTTATTTGGGGTCTTCAAGATAACTGTATTTGAAATGTCCTCTCCTCCATATAATATCCTGCTCAATTACCATGAGGTTAAGGTAATTACTGTTACAGTAAGTGGTCTAGGTGCATGGTATAGGACAAATTTTATGAGTAAAAGTATTAGGGTGGTATCGGGGCAGCCCTACATTATAGTTTACTTTATTTTAGAATAAATATTAGTATCATTATACTGTATAGTACAATAACTATAACACTGGTAGCAGTAAATGTTTTCAGTCTAATGCTCTGTGTCAAACATTCGTGTGACTTTGTTTGACACTGCCCATAGAAAACACAATAAGTCACCGTGATAGACACAGGAAAGTATGCATGCATGCAGATGGCACCTAACTAAAAGACTGGCATAAAGTTTAAAGCTGTACAGTAGCTTTAAAAAAAATAAAATAAATAAAATACAGAGAGTGTCCCTGGATGTCAACATGTGAAGAGACCATTATCAGTGAGAAATGTTCCGCTACTTTGTACTTCTGGTTCTTTTGGTATGATTGTGTGTATGTGTGATTAAGTGCAGTGGGGTACTGCTGGGGCCTGTTTTAGTCCTTGCCCAGAGGAACAGGTGCAGATTATCCCTTCATAAGCTTTGCCAGATCCTTTCAGCAGCCCACCATTTCTACACCCACATGGAAAACCCAAGAGGAGAGTCTAATTTAAGATGCTGGGCAACAGCAATGGAAACACATACTGTATGGTATAAAACCAGGGAGATCATTAAGCCCTTAAAAAACACAGGATTGTCTGCTCTATAAAAGCTGTAAAAACAAAGAAAAAAGTGACAGAGCAAAACAAAAACGCAGTGTTCAGTGGTATTAAGATGTCAGACAAAAGTGGTATTAAGATGTCAGACAAAAATACTCTGAATTCTGATATTTTCAAATAATTAGAAGATGTAAATTCTGTAAACACAACTCTGAAATTTGAAATATTCCATTGCGATGGAATAGTAAAATACATACCTGCTCAGCAAGAAATATGAATCCACTATGCAGGGGTTTGCTTTGTAAAGTGGTATAAGAGGTCATAATTGCACTAATGTTGGCTGTTACCTGACAGCTGCCTCTGAATGAAGAGAGAAGGCCAAAGATATTTCACTAATGCTAACATTTACACTCTGAGCTGGGTTTATGAGTCCAGAGATGAATAAACAAAATCCACTCCAAATCCACCCCATCACCAATCTCCTGTCAGCGCAATCTCAAGCAGAGAGAGATGACAACTGGTTCAAAGCTTACACATGTTTGGGAATCTAATAAGGACTGTACAAATGTGCAGAATATGCCCATTAGTGCAAGGGTGTATCTGAGCATATGTATGCATGTCATCATGTATGTAGCAATGGCAGTTACGAGTGTTTACTGTGCATGTGTGTATGCATCACTTTACATCCCAGTGAGAATTAAACCACCTCTAGGGTAAGCATAAACTCACACACACAAGTGTCACAAACACACAGGGCTGTCTGAATAATGTAGTGATTTGCAAATTTGGTGGTGCATTTGTCCAGCAACGTAGCTCCACAGCAGCTACACGGCGCAGGGGCGGATCATGTCAAGATGCTGAGCAACATTCAGAGCATGAGCAGAACAGGAGGCTGTTATTAAGGCTGCCAACAGTCTGCATGACTTAGGCTCCTCTGACCTCTCCTTCCTGTGTGTTCTTGTGAGATGAGGCTGAAACTTGATTAAGTGTTGTTGCAGAATCAAAACACAAGATTCAAAAGATTCGGCATTTTGTTGCTTTACATTTGAAAAACATATTTTTAAATCAGTGTTGGTCATATAGCTCTCTGAGTGAGTAACAAAAACCATGACATGCAACCTTACATTTTTGTGTTTGCCCTCAAGACTTTAGTGCCACATGAATTAAATGCATCACAAAAGATACATGATTCACATGATCAGAATATATGGCATTCTGGACAGAGGTGGAATACCAGGGCATGTTTTCACACTTTTCTTTGGCTAACTTGATTTTTAACATTTTTAGATGTGGCACCACAAACAAAATAGACTGACTGGACACATCAACCATATGGGCTTTTAGCAAATACAGGGGTATCATCACACACTGGAGAATGTACAGTATTTGCTTGTGTAGGCAAATGTGTGTGCACAGATGCATGCCCCCATGCATGCATCTGCGCACTTCACGTGTGCCTATAATGCACACTGTTGATATCTTCATACATTATTTGGCAATTGTTTTGACTGTAGATGATATAAGGACATTTTTAACCTATAAGAGATATAAATATGAATGGACAGGAGGGCAAACGCCTCTAACCAAGGTCAGCTTGTAAGCTTAATCATATTCATTGTTAAAACTGATTTGATCATTAATCACTCCTGTCCCTATCTTTGTCCATGTGTTGCTTCTCCTTAAAGTGGAACAGGAGCTCACACAAGCTTAAAAGTGAATCAACTGACATGCAACCAAAATAAATAAATAATGAAATAAATAAATATCCATGCAAATTTACTGCAATGGCTCATTATCTTGCTCTGTGTGTGTGTGTGTGTGTGTTGTGTTGCTGTGCTGGGAGCATGTTCTGCCAGCCCTTCTTCCCACAGCTCATGCATAATATCATCAGAGCATGCCACAGCAACGAGCATCCTGTGTTCACTGTGCATTGAAGTGTTGGAGCATTTGTGTGGACACACTGCAATCCAGATCTAATTTTATCTTGTTCATTCTTGTTAGAGCAATAGAAGGTAAAGTGAACCTGTATGCATGCTGTGATTTAGGAGGCACAGCTGTCCACTGGGAGATGACACACCATCACACTCAATACAACAGGGGACAGGAACAGCAAGCGAGCAAAACAGAGAAAGACAGGCACAGATGGGGATAGAGTGTTGATTTGGATTAACACAGGAGCAGAAATTGAACAAAACCAAGTAAAAAAGGAAACAGACAAAAAAAGCAACATGAATTAAAATACAAAAGACACAGTGGGAGGTTGAGAGACAATAGAAGGATATACAGAGCAAGAGAGACAGTGAGAGAGAAAGAAAGAGAGGGAGAGAGAAGCAGAGCTCCCTAACTCTAGTGATTCCCAGACTGGCTGGCTGGTAGTACACTCTGTGCTCTGATGTGCCTGCTCTGATGGGGTTTCATGCCCATGCAGAGTGTGCTGGGGATCCTGAGGGCAATACAGTTTTTCTGCTGCTGATCTCAGCCTCTCTAATTCCTACCTACTGACCAGATCACCCTACAGAGGTAGGAGTCAGGACCTTACTCACGGCTAATGGATCAACCAGTGACAGTCACTAGAATCCAAAAAGGGAGCTAAAAGAAAACCAAACACAAGCGGCCCAAGGACGACTGGCAGATATGAGAGGTAGGATCTCCATCATTTGTGAATGTGAATTCCATATGTGTGTGCACTTGGTATGTGCTTGGTTAGGTGGGCTGCTATCAGCTGCTGAGACTATTATGTTGTATAACTGAGTGATATTAAAGCACAGGCATATAATAGTTAGATGCAACACACATGTCAACATTACAGCCACATTTTTATGTTTATACAATACAATAGCTGTACACCAGTGTTGCCCTGAAAGGTTTCCTATTGCAAATTAGTGCTGACATCAGTACTAAGTTGATTTAAAATGGGATGTACTTGCTGTGGGTTGTTTGCACATCATAGCACGCTTCTCTGTGTGTACTTTGGGCTGCAGGGACATATCAGAGCATAAAGCCATTCTCTTGTGTTGACCCCATTCTAGAGCTGCTGTTACAACACTCCACTCAACGGATGCTCTGTTTATGCATTTCTATGTATGCCTTGTATGTGTTTGTTTATGAATAAAGGATGCGACTGAATGCATTCTTGCAAACACACACACACTCATTTCACTAACAAGGATGCAATTAACATAGGGCTTTGTACTACAGTGTGCTAAATATCAACCCAGCCATGTTCTCATGCTTTCTGTTGAAGCAAGCAACATAATATAACAGCAACACTGCACTGCCAAGAGCCACTGACACCTGAGATTAGACCTGGGAGCGCCTGCGCCTGGATATTTCTAAACCTGTGAATCACAATCCACTGTATGAAGTCTACAAACCAAGCAGAGACTAAATGACGATTGAATGCTTTTAAATGAAAGACTGTCACTCTAATTAGTAGACTATGCTAAGAAAGTGTTTGTTCACAGAACAGAGGAAATTTTTCTAAATGATACTTCTGCGTAACAGCCAAATACCAAATAGCAGCTGTGTGAGTTGAGTGTTATGTAACCACAGAATTTAAACATTTAGATTGTGCCGTCCCATTCATGTTAACACTCCATGGTTGTTGATTGATACAGTTTGTAGCTGCATGGTATTTCCTAATGTAATTCTTGAAATAAGTATCAGGTTAAGAGACTCACAGCTACCTCATCAATAAGATATAATTTAGGCAAAGATTCTTATGAGAGATTCTGCTTGACAGAATCAAATGAGGTCATTCGCATTTGAGAGAACACTTCTTCTTTGACTTTCAGCTGTTCTTGGCTAAGGAACTGAACATTGTAGGTTTCGTACTTATGTAGATCAATATGCTGCAGCATATCTTTTTGTTCAAGATCTGAGTGCAACTTGTAAGCTAGCTACATTTCCATGCTTCATTTCATTGAGCCTCAAGCTAGTCCAGCCATTGCTATAAATACTGCTGTAATGTTCCACAAGGAATGGACATGTGAAGTCATATCAGAGGGAAACAGACACCTAATATCTGCTGTGTATGGATTTGTGTGTGGGTGGAGTGTGGGTGACGGGTTACAAAGCTTTGGTGAAGTCACTGAGGGTCAGTGACTGAGGGTGGTGGGAAGTGGGGACTGGCATATTAGAAATAAATTTACTAGACAAAGAACAGCATTAACTGAGCAGAACAAAGTGAACCGCATCCCATTCCAAAGTCATTATTTCATATATTTTTGATGGATTTAGGCCTTTATCTGCTTTAGTCAGGGTGGTCATGGCAGTTAAACAATGGGATTAATACATGGAATTATGTAATCTTTGTCCATTGTATTGCTGTAAGAGATCACAATCAATATTTAAACTTTCAAAAAAATGTGTAGCTGTATTTTTTCATATTTAGCGGTGAGTACTTTAAGTGCATTACTTTTAAATGTCTAATTCAATATTATGTTGCCCTGTCTCCACAGTGACACTGGCCTGTGCCATCCTCTGCTTCCTCTCTTTGTCACATGCCTGTCCAAAGGAGTGTAGCTGCAACAGCAACAGCAAAGTAGTAGACTGCCGAGGTCGAGGCCTATATGACATCCCCCGAAAACTGCATCCAGACACCCAAGAACTGTATCTTCAAGATAACCGCATCAGGGGGTTGGGATCAATGGCTTTCAGAGAAATACCCTTCGTCCGAATTCTTGATCTATCTAATAATTCCGTAACATCTGTTTCACCAACGGCCCTGCTGGGTCTCCGGTCTCTACAGCACCTCAGTTTGGCCTACAACAGCCTGAGGGAGCTTGACAAGAGGTTGCTTGGACCGATCCACTCTCTTTCACACCTTGACCTCTCACACAATAGGTTAAGCAACAAAACCAGAACATATCAAAATTATTATTTGTCCTTTGTTGAACAATATTGAGTAGAAACTTGATCCCACATAAGTCATTGTATCTTATATCATTTCCCTGTCATGTCCCTTCCTTACAGCCTGTGGGGTTTGCCTGGAGCCATGGGGGACAGCTTGAGGAACCTTAGCCACCTGGGGCTAGCACACAACCGGTTAACACGGTTAGACCGCTCCCTGTTAGAGACCCTGACCCATCTGGACAGCCTCACACTACAAGGCAACCCCTGGAGGTGTGACTGCCAGCTCATAGGCCTCAAACTTTGGCTGGAGACCTACCTCTTTAAAGGTTAGACTACTTGTGACTCTGGGGAGTGGCTGAGGAACATCTATAATGTTTCCAACATTCATACATTTCAGTGCCTTTCCTACTGGGCACACTATTAGATTATGGTTATACTGACCTTTAACACAAACAAATATCCTAAAACTAGTAGAGCAGAAATGAATGGAGTCATAAAAGTAAGCAAGCAAGAGCACTTGCAAAAAGTATAACTACAACTGACAATATTGCAGCACAGACTTTATTCCTAAATAATACACTGATGTTGTTTTCAGAGATTCAAATACAAAAGAAGTCACATCATACATATATATATATCTGGGACAAAGCTAAATATGCCTTTCAAAAAGCAATGACAATGTCTGTGCAATTGAGCACACTCTCCTTCAGTCAGAGCATATTAGCTCTGGACTCTACTGTATATTAAAATGACCAATTCCCATGATGAGAGGAGAGACTCTTTTAGGGATTAAAAGTGACTGAACAACCCCAAATGGATATAGTGCTTACATACTTTTGCCCTTGGAGAGATTGGCACAGTGGAGTTAAGTCCACGCTAAAAGGTCTGCCCAATTATTAAAGATGGTTCAGTAAGTGCATCTCATATTGTTTGAGAAAAATTACAGCCATGTCTACATTGTCAATGTTGATTCACTGAGTGAATCAAAGAATTCACAAAATGAAATGCATCAGCCTCTTGATTAATGTTGTGATGTTAAGGTTAGGCATCTTTGCAGCTTCTATAAGTAATGTAGTTATCTGTACAACCAGAGACTGAGGGTGCATATGGGTAATTAAGGGTTAAATTGCCAACCACATTATTTTCTGTGCTAGGCCAAGCACAGCATGCATTCGATAACAAAATAACCACTATACAATGAAAGCTAGGTTCGTTGGAGTTGGCTGGCCCGCCTACATGCCTATGTTATCCTGACACAGCTTTTGTCTTAACAGCTGAAAATTCTAATTACTGCAAAACAGAACAATAGACTCAGATACAAGGAAGTATGCTTAACAGAAAGCCAGTGGTTATCCAGGCAGGCGAGCAGTGTAGTGTGTGACAGATCATGCTTGACATGACTACAGAGTGAGATGAATAATAAAGAAATTTTGGGGCACATGAAAGTCAGCTGATGAAGTCCTAACTCAACACTTTCTCCACTTGATCCAAAAAAGACTATATTTGAGCTGTTCATCATATTAAGCTTATGGCCAAGCTGGTTCAGGCTCAGAGATGAAGATTGTAATTATGGCCTCTTCTGTAGCAAGCAGTGAAAAAGGAAAGAAGCTAATAACAGCAGGTATGGTACAGAACAACTGACAGTTGAATGACTTCTTATTTCCAAAGGTGGAGTGGTGGATGAGGTGCTTTGTTCCCAGCCAGAAGAAATGAGGGACAGAGACCTGCAGAAAGTCCCTTACCAGCTCTTTCATGCCTGCATGACAACAAGTTACCACTACTTGTTTGCCAACATACACCACCTGGAGTCTGAGAGGCGACTGCGAGGTCACACCCATGGCAACCATGCTCATCCCTCTAGCCACACTCTCCATGTCCCCATGGCAATAGGGGAGGGCTTTGGTGGAGGGGGAGGAGGGGGAGGAGGAGGGAGTGTACCCGAGTGTGAAACTAAGCAGAAGCAGCGGCCTGTCAACTTGCGCCATGCTATTGCCACAGTAATCATCACCGGCGTAGTGTGTGGGATCGTGTGTCTGATGATGCTGGTTGCAGCAGTGTACGGCTGTGCGTATGCTGCTATCATGGCCAAATACCAGAGGGAGCTAAAGAAGAACGAGGAGCTAGCAGCAGCGCAGGGGGCAGATCATGCCACAGCAGATGAAAAAGAGCCACTGGAGAATGCTATTGCTTAGGAGATGATAAAATGAACTTTGGGCCTCAACCCTTTAACCTAATTGTCTCTGGATGCCACGTGTGTGTGCTTGTGTGTGCATGTTTGTGAGAACAAAAGAAGAGAGTGCATTTCTGTATGTGTATGTTTACCTCATTTCTGAGACTTGGGTAGCTAAATTCCACAGGTATTTGACTATGCACTGATGAGAGTATGTTCTACTGTATGCGGGTTTGAGGGGCAGGCCAAAGAATTCAAACACATCACAGATAGAAATAAACTGCTATATATTTATAATTTCGTATTTGTAGGTATAATAGTAGAGGTCTTGTATTTAAAAAAATAGATGTCAGAAATCGGTTCATTGCTCAGAGTTTGATTTTGAAGTAATTTTGAAAATTCATTGTTGGCAGCTGCTATCAGTTCAACTCCAAGTTGTTTGTACCATTAACGTGAGTGTATGAGAACAAGATGAAAGTGTTTGTGTCAGTGCTCGAGTGTGTGTGGAGACGTATACTGAATGCACATATTTATAGAGAATTTAAGAGTCTGTGCCTGATAATGTGATCGAGCTCTGAAGAGAAAACCTTTCTAAAAGGATATTTTTCTGATTAATGATAGATTTTTCTGGATAAAGATGGATAATTTATTGAAGCAATAATGAAGCAAGCTAAAACTACACCAACAAAACTTGGCCTTGTTGTTTTTCTATGAGGTTTTAAGTCTGAATCATCCTGCTGCAAAAGTCACACCCACAGACAAACTTTTAGAACTACAGTTTTTGAGATCAGTCGAGTCTCAGTTGTGAGCTAATGTTGATTACATAACTGAAGTCATGTCCATCAGTATCTATTATATAAAATAAAGGGAAATATTTTATGTGATTACTATATGTATACAGCAATTAATTTGAAAAGACATGCATCCTTTATTGAGAAAAAATATTTTAAAAACAAGTATTTATGAATAAATAAGTGAATCCTACTCTTAGAGAGCACTTCTCTAAATGTCTATGTGAGTAAACAGTACATAGTGTTTTACGGTAAACAAGACATTCTGCCACCTTGATATGAAAATCAGTGCTCAGTTCTGGAAACCCAGTCACATATTATGTAGCCCTACAACCCTTGGTCAAGAAACAAGTACTGATACCAATTCCTCTAAAAAACCAAGAAAATGCTCCTCATTTAAAGTGCCACAGTGGTAATCATGAAATTAGTGGCCATTGGATGAGAATTTTGCCCCTCAAGTGCTGGCACAGTGACATTAAGCAGAGATGTGGCGATTTGCAATTTTATTGGCTGATTCCAGTTTTCAGTTCTTTTTAAAGTATGTTTTATTTGGTGTTTTACCATGGGTTTGATACACTGTGAATATGCATGGATTTGAAGTGCAGCCAGTAATTTCCTCATTATGTACTGTTTGTCAAAGATCTGGATGTTGTTTTCCCTTCTCCAAGGAGTTTCTGTGTGATCCTCTGTGTGGTTTTGTACACCAAGCACAAGTGAACATGCACCCGTTACAGACACAAGAGCGAGGCTTGCGTGCACAAGCTATGCTTTCAGTCTGTGCCACCGTGTGCGCCATATGAACCAGTGTATGTGTAAATACTGTGCTATTAATTTAATAATATTCTACCTGTGAGAGATAAATTTGAAGATACGATGTTTCTATTTCTGATGAGATAATGTACGATGGTACCATTTCAAGAAAATTCTAAAGTATTATATAATGTAATATAAAGTAACAAATCAAACTTCAATTAAAATTTGGTCTCGTTTCAATTTTGTGTTAAAAATGTCACAGGATAATTAGGCAATGTTTTAGATTATATCAAACATGCAGCTTGTTGTGTACATTACAAACATCCATATTCTTATCTATCTTTAAATAATTTATCATGTCAAGTGCAAGTGAGCTTTAGCTGCAGTGTAATATGGAGGCACATGAATGTACACAGATGCCTTTGGCCTCAATGCCTGACTTGACTTTTGTGGCTCTGTGAATATTAGAGCAGCAGACTTGCTGCACGTAGCTCTGGGCTTAACCACAAACACTGACATACACACAAACAACCACTTGTGTTTGTATGCACACAATAACGTTGTGACTCAAATGATGTCTGGAGGGTCCATGGTGTGTGATGTCATCAGCCTGTCCTGTTCAGTTAGTGTACTAGTGTATTCACGAGTCAGTGGAACACAGAGCAGTGAGAACTGGCCCTAACCGGCCCACGCTACATTTGCATTCTAGCCTACATCTCTCCTCCCATCTGACTCTCTTATATAAAATCATCCTTACAGACATCCCCCGACCTGACAAGCATGATCGTCATTACTGTGCTACACATCAGCACCCACTAGAACAATAGCATCTGCACGATTCTCTGTTAGTCATTTGGTTTACTGCTAACCAGGATTTGGGGGAATGATATTATCTTAAAAGGACAATGATCAAGTCAACAGGGTCAAATTATACTGTGGGCAGGTTTCAACTGTGGGCTGCTTGTGTACTACTTAGATAGAAATCTGATGTGCATGTGTGTGTACACACTGTGGCAACACACAGACTCTCCAATCTCTGTCCTTCTGCTCTAGTGGTTTCCCCCAGGCCAAGAGTACCCACAATACACTGCTTTCATGTCAAAGCAGTTAGGCACCATGAAATAATTGTCTCTCTGCCCTTTCACTTCTTCCCCCATTTTAAAACTGCAATTCCAAAAGATTCTGCTCTTTTTTCCTTTCTTCACTTTTTCTTTCCTCTGCCTTCACTTTATTCAATTCCTCTGCTGGCGTTACTCAACCTCATCTACTGACACGACCACAGACAACAATTTGGTGTTTAATATCTGGCAAAAGTTGTGCTCCATATTTGTCCTCGGTACATATCTTGGGCGGTAGAAAGGAAACTGTATCTGAATAGAATAATTTGCTTATATAAGATTTATGTACTGTGTGATTACTAAAGCTATTCATATAAAATACAGTTGGAAAACAGGACTTCCAAGCTAATCAAACAGGAGGATTAACATGAAGAAAAAAGAGCGGAACCTTACTGTGAGCACAGCTCCCTGAGGAACAGCACTAAGCAAGACACACATCAACACATCTGCATATTTTAGCCAGATGTTTGTATTTTACTCAATTTGTCCATTTGGAAATTTGAGAATTTGTAATAAATACTCTCATTTTTTAAGCAAGGTGTTTCTAGCTTTCTGTATTTTAATTAACATTTTCTGGCATAACATACTCACTTGGTTGCAAATAATAATGTGTTTCTTAACTGTCCAGTGCTGCAGTAAAAGTACTATTTACATGTTAGTTAGACAATATGCAGAACAGAAAGCCATCTTGAGAGACGGGTAATGAATGATGTCATGTCACAACTTTCCTATGAATAATACCATAACTTCTCAAAACCATATGTCTCTATTTCTAACCTCCCAGTTTCCATATTTCTTACATTGAATTTGCTGTACCTTTCTTTTCCAACCAAGATGATGGCTAGCAGAACAAGGGCTGCACTTACTACAGTATCGGCTTGCTTGATTGCACCGTGTTGCGTTACATGGGTGTGACATTGTGGGGCTTCTGAGTCACTAGGACATGAGGTGAGGCAGTACACAAAGAAATCCTCTAGATCTCAAAATGCCTTAAATAAATACAGAGGCAACAAAACAAATGCACAATAGGCATTTATAAAACTTGTTTCTATTAATACTTTTAAATATAAATACTCCTGGGTGCAAGCGTCAGTGCTGCAGTGTGCTGCACTCACGACTTCTTCTGTGCATATATTCATGCAGGGTCAAGTGCACAATCAAAAAAAAGCAGCAGAGTCAGTATACTGTATGTGGGCACTGAGTGTTTCAACTCAAAAAGAGGAAAAGAAGGAGAGGTAGACAACTGTAACAAAATCTTCATAGCAATGCGAGGAATTAAATATTGCAACTTGTATCAGTGTAGAAGCTTGTGTGTGACAGTGAAACAGCCACTTGATCTGTGCACTTACCCGCAGCTATGGGTGATTTCCTCTCATCCAGAAGCTGAATGGCAGTGCTGGCCAGTACAACACTCTTGTTTTCTGATCCTAAGCCACACGCATAAGCACACATACAGCCACACAACACACACAGGAACACATACAGAGTTGGCATCACCGTCATATCATAATTCCTTATATATTAGTTCTGAACTGACCACAGGGAGCTTGGATAGAGAAACACTGAACATAGAAGCCACAGAGTCCTGTTTCAAGGCTACAGCTAACTGTGACAGACATAAGAGGAAGAGTGCATCAAGGCAGGTCCGGCCAGTAAATAAGAGGCTTTCAGATACTTGTATTAGCTGGCACTAATGGAAAGCTTAAGGCTGAGGACACATTCTTGGAGAGATAGTTACAGTGAATATGTTTGAGGTGCCTGTGTTGTGTGTGTGTGCCTTGTGTGTTGTATTTGTGTGTTCTGGCCAAGTCACTATGGCAAGGGCTGAACCTCTTCCTAACATATTTAATTTCAACCCGCAGCAATCAGTCCTGTCCACAAGAGCACAGCTCAGAATTAATAAGAGAGGAAGGGAAAGTAGAAATTGATGGTGAGAGAACCAAATATGGGTGAAAGAGGAAAAGAAGTGGGGAAAAGGATGCTCTGATACAAACCGTATTTAACAAACTGTAAGCTGACTTTGAATGGCTTTATAGTGGGTGACAACATGTCACATAACTCTTGACATGCTTACAGTGATTTATCAGCTTCCCAGATTCATTGTACAAGTAAAGGCTGCTGTGTTGAACTACAGTAAAAAAAAAAGGAGTTATTTTTTAAACATTAACTTTATGTCAGGTCAGCACGGTCGAGCAGTGGTTCACTTTATCGCCTCACAGCAAGACATGCAGCTGAGGTTAACTGGCGACTCCAAAACTGCCCGAAGGTGAATGCAAGTGTGAACGCTTATCTGTCTCCAAGTCTCAGTCCTGTGATAAACTGCTGGCCTGTCCGTGATATGCCCTGCCTCTCATGGGATAAGTGGGATAGATGGACCAACTTTGTGGGAAGAACTGAATTATCATTAAAATGTATAACTAACCTGTATTGAAAGGAAGAGAGTAGACAAAGGTTCCAGCAACTTGTTCTGCAGCTCTCTTGTACCACAGGGGAAAGTGATCAGCATTGAACACCCCCTCTTTGTCTTCAGCTGTCAGGAAGTCTCTTGAAGCAGACAGGAACCAGAGGTGATGACAAATTATGCACATGCAAAACGTAAGATATTCACTTTGGAACAAGAGCTGTTGCAAGTGCATACACTGTATACTTAAATGTTCATATACATACATTCTGGATACATAAAATCAGCATACTTACTGGTTTGAAAGCTCATCAGGCATCACAAACAAGTTAATTCTGGACAGGCCTGTTCTTGTGCCCAGGTAGGCTATTTCCACTCCTTTATCAGAGTTCCTGTGTATTATAACAAATACATAGCCTGAAATTATGCACAATTATATGTTTGCTATCAGTCAGGGTGCAAATTACAGGGTGGTTTAAGATCTCGACCCCCGTTCACATTCAGTTCAGCAGCCTCTTGCTGATCAACACCCTCCCACAGCAGCTTATTATAATATATATATAAAAAAATGCTAGCTTCACTGTTAACAATAATAATAATAATAATGTTTGCAGCCCTTTTTTCTTATTTATCTCTCTCTGTCTATACATACGTGTGTTTACAGTGGCCTGTATATAGACTTATTTTGGAATCTCGGATCTCGCATTCTGTTAAAAGCTGTAGTATGCAACTTCTTTCAAATATTTTTAGTGTAAAGATATGCTCCAAACCTTTAGAAAACTTTAGAAAGATGCTGTTAAACCCTTCTATGAGCCAGACTCAATGAACAACACTGGTGGCAGTGTAGAGATATTAGCTTTTAAAAGGTTTTGAACAGGACTAACCTCCCCAACCAAACAGAGATTTTCAATTATTTCTGTTTGATCAGTGAGTTTTGTTGCATTTCCATTTATTATAATTTCATGATGACATGTCTGAAGAGCTGGGCAGAGCGTGGCAGAGCATAACAGATTGTAGTACAGCACAGTGGAGCAGGGAGAGGGAGTGCTGGGTGAAGCAGAGTGGATTGATTTGAATATTCCTGCTAGTGCTAAATTAAGTTACAAACTGTAGCTTTGGTAACTATTTAAAAAAATTGTTTACAAACCCATTTCCAGAAAAGCTGGGACATTATCTTAAATGCAATGAAAAGTGAAATCAGTGATTTATTAATTCCCTTGAACCTCTGATTAACAAAAGAACAAAGAAAATATTTCGAATGTTTTCACTGACCAACCGAATTACATCTTATAAATATAAAAAGTAGAATTTGATGCCTGCAACACACTCAAACAAAGTTGAAACTAAATAAGAATATTCCACTTACACTGTTCTGGAGGTATCTAAAATTAGCATGTTAATTGGTAATGGGTGAAGGTACAGTATCATGACTGGGTATAAAAAGTGCATTCACCAAAGTCTCAGTCTTTGCAATGAAAGAAGGGCCATGGCACACCACTTTGTGCCAAACTAAAGCCGTAAAGGCAACGGGTGAAAACATAACCTTCAAGTCATCAGGAGGCATTTGTATGAGAAGCTGTCATGCTAACATGATGAATATAGCCACATGGGCTCAGGAGGACTTTGGAAAACTCTTGTCACATAACACAGTCCGCCACTGCATCCAGAAATGCAACCTGAGACTCTGTTACACAAGGAGGAAGCCATACATCAATTGTGTGCAGAAAGGTCGTTGAGTTCTCTGGGCCCGAGCTCATCTGAGGTGGACCAAAATGCAGTGGAAACCTGTTCTGTGGTCAGAGTCCATGTTTCAGTTTGTTTTAGTGAAACTCCGACTTTGGGTTCTCTGTGCCAAAGACGAAAAAGACAATTCAGACTGTGCAAAGTCTAGCATCTGTGTTGGTGTGGGGGTACATCAGTGCCCATGGCATGGGTGACTTGCATATGTGTGCAGGTACTATAGATGCAAAGGCCTTTATTAGGATTTTAGAGATATATGCTGTCATCAAGGCAATGTCTTTTCCCAGGAAGTCTGTGGATATAGGCTTCATTTTGCATGTGTTACTGCACAACTGTGTGGCTTTGTAGACAGAATGTGTATGCTTGAGTGGCCTGCCTGCAGTCCAAATCTGTCTCCGGTTGAAAATATATGGTGCATCATGAAGATGAGAATCAGACAATGCCGAGCAGCTGAAGTCTTGTACCAAGAATGGGCAAATAGTCCACAAAACTGCAACAATTAGTATTCTCAGCTCCCAGTTCAGTTAAAAAGTGTAATTAAAAGAAAGGTGATGTAACACAGAGGTAAACATACCAATGTCCCAACTTTTTTGAGTGTGTTACAGGGATCAAATTCTAAATTTGCTTATAGTTACAAAATGCAATTAAGTTGGTCAGGGAAAACAATGAAAATCTTTTCTGTGTACTTTTGTCAGTTAAATAATGATTCAAGCGAATTAACAAATCATAGATTTTAGTTTTTATTGCATTTTGGAAAATGTCCCAACTTTTCTGGAAATGGGGTTTGTAGAGGTTATATATTGTGTTTTATTTATTTATTTATTTACTTATCATAAGTCTGTTAAGTAGCCTGATTATTGACTTTGTATTTCTCCAACCCTGCCCCTGTTCTCCCCTTGTTCCCCCTCTGGTCACTGGACAACACCCTCCCCAAAATGTAATTCAAACTCTGTTATTATTGTTACTTTAAAAAAAGCCTTTACAAGAGCCTAGGACCTTTGGTTCTCTGTAACATAAATTGCAGGAGTTGAGTGGATGACGTACTCAGACTTATTTAGGACAAGGCTGGTCCAGTAGGCCTCCAAAGGGGCAGTCACAACTGCATCAAAGAGAACCTCCTGAATCAGCTCCCTGTCACCTACCAAGGAAAACACGTGCTCATCAGCTAGCCAAATTTGACAAGAAAACATCACTTAAGGAATGTGGGCTGTAGATGTATTTAACTAACATTGTAAGTAGGGGTCATGTCCACCGAGGTACAGTTTGATTGCCTCTATCTGGGACAGGTAATGGTGCTCTGGGTGCTCGTCTGTGTTGCAGTATGTCCTGTCATATAACAAGAACGAACAATACAGACATTGGTTATAATGATATAGTACGCACACACTCAGAATTGTTAGAATTGCCTCCAGATAGTTTCCTTGAAAAACTGATTTCTTAGCCATTCACTGATTATGTGCTTAAGATTGAAAGCAACTGGATTATATGACTCTGGTTACAGTAAATAGTGATTGCAAAGTAAAACAAATAGGTTTATCCCATTTACGAGCATTAGTTTGAGAAGCGTTTACTGTAATTTGTTTAGATTCCGTTTCCCAGTTCTGATGACCACAAATCATCAAGTGACACAAACCACCATGTTAAAGTCCTACAGATCCCAAAGCAGTTGTCTAACTGTTGTAGTGCAGTGAAATTATAACTGTGTTTGATTTTGTTATTTGTATTGTATATTTTAGATATATAATTCAATCACAATGTCATTTGAATAAGGGCTGAAGATGATGCTGTCAGAACAGAAACATGCAGTAATGCTGATGTGCTCCTACCATTCGTCTGCCAGCGCTACATCAGGGTGCTCCAAGTCATGAAGTCCTATAACAGAATAAGAACTACAGATCTCAAACTAAATAAGCAAAAGCACTATGAACTCACCATAATCGGGTTAGGCATCTACACTTCAAATGCACACACACTTAAACATACACCTCAGAGGTGAAAAATGTGCTTTTTGAATGGATGTGACAGGGCTGATTAGATCAGGAAGAGCCAAGTCATGCTCAGAGGTTTCTGCATGATGGACGTGTTTAGAGAAACACACAGACATGCACACACACACACACACCACCACAACATGAATATTAACATGCATGAGGCTAGACATAAAAAGAGAGAGGCACATATATGCACTGTCAAGACAAGGACAAGTACAACACACCTAAGGAGCTGCTAAAGAAATATTTAACTTCCGGTTCAATTGTGGCATTCAATTTTATTATAACTATGTTACAACTGAATGGGTGTGTCAATGTGTGAGAGACAGAAGCCCTAGTATAGTATTATATGGTCAATGTGGTGTTACTTCTTTTACTTGTATCTGAACACGTCTTCCACCAATGCAGCTGAGTTAAGAAGGGTTAGTTGAATGAGAAGCAGTGATACAGAAACAATGGCAGAGGACAAGGGAGAGTGAGGGGCAGAGAATTATAGGCAGACACAGCATCACACACAATACAGATAATAAAGAGTAGAGACACAAAGAAAAAGGGAGAGTGGAGGATTTCCTACCTTCTTCCACTGTGACATTTCCTCTGAAGAAGAACTTTCCATGGCCCCTGGAAAGAGCTACTCCTAGACTGAAATAAAACAAGCAATCTTTTATAAATAGGCAACTCACCAGCTCCTTTTTGTGCAGAGAAACCTGGTAATGGTTCAGTCTCTCTAAACTTTGTTCATTGCTCACAGAAATGCCTCCAGCCTTCTTACCTGAAAGGAGTCCCCTTGATGTCTGTGTAGTAATAATCATTATGCAACACCAATACACGTTTCTAAAATAAAAGAAATTGACATTGACATTATAATATATTTTTAAAGTTTTTTTGTTTGTGTATAATGCAAATTTTTTACATAACCTTGTCATTTAACATTGAAAAACTCAATAAAGCATATTAAAATATGTAAACACTAGGCAGTGTGATGGCACTTATATTCTCTGCACTTTGGCGCCATCAAGTGGTGCAGGAAGTACATGCTTCTGGTTGGCACACGACCTGTTACTCTGCAGATGGTTGTGTTTTTGCAACGTGAATATTTGGATGAGGATGTTGAATATGCATGTATGAGTACATTTGAATGTGTGTAAACAGTGTGTGTGTATTTACATAATGAATGCCTAATCATTAGGCTAATATATAATGCTCTTTACTAAGCTTTGAAAATGCAAAGTGCACACACGCTCGCATGCAAACACACACCTGAATGCTTCCCCCCAGACAGGCAAGTAGTAAAAGAGAATCATTGGGTTGCTGTCTCTCTCGTATTCAGCAGCATGTGCTTGGACGAGATAAGAGGCTCACACACAGACAGACACACACCCGTGCTTGCAGAGCAAACCAAATCAGAAACAAAATCCCCAAGTCAATCCTGTACATCACTGTGCCAAATGTAACAACCCCTTGGCAGAGTGGATTCTCTCTGCTAAGTACTTTTTCTGGCTCGCCCACTGGGACCATCTGAAAAGTGCTTGTTGGTGTGCGCTTGTGCATTTGGGATTCCTCACCCCTTTGTCAACACTCTTCTTCACCTCCATGGAGAAGGTCCCCGTCTTCCTGTTAACCATGGCATTTCTCAGCTAGCAACACAGAGCACATAGCAAATGTCAAACATATGATGTTTACTGAAACAGGTGCTGTGATGATGCTTAAAGGAGATTACTACAAGAGCCTCACTGTGTCATCCTTATCTTCCCACTCCACCTCAGACAGATCCACGCTGCTGTAGTTTGGCTTTCTTCGCTTCTTGCCATCCCCATACTGGACACACAGGCCCACAGAAACACACATGCATGCACAGACATAAAAAGATACTGAAGAAAATGAAACAAAGAGAGCATAAAAATCTAGAACTGCAACCCATGATTATCATTGTTAGCAATGAATCTAGCAATTATTTTTCCATTGATATATATTATTATAATTTGACAAAAAAATTGTGAAAAGCTTCATTACAAATTCCCAGAACCTAAGGTGAATTATAAAATAATGTTTGAGAAATAATATAATTACAAAACTCAGTGACAGCAAATTTACAATGATAAAAACCAGATTAAAGCATCATTTGAGATGTGGAAAAATAAATGCTGCAAACAATCAGCAAATAAATGACAAATGATAACAGATAAGACAGATGACAAAATACAGGAGACAGTTAGCTTAGCATACAAAACTAGCCTGGCCCTGTACAAACCACTCTATAGTTGTACATTCTATTAACATGTTGCCAGGTTTTCCTAGGTTGTCTCTGCTGTTTTGTTTATTTTTTTCACACCTTGTCTAATTCTGTAGATGAATCTATTTCATAAACCTGTTTCAAGAACTGCCAACGTCACATGACAGAGAGAGAACATTACTGAATGCACAGTAAGGTGGTAACTAAACGATGGCAGTGCAGTATGACAAGCACCTAAATCCATTTCTGAACAAAAAATATTTTGGAAACCTTTGAACTTATTAGGAGCTGCAGTTATTATACAGATGCAGCAGGTTGTTCAATAAGACTCTTTAGTTTTTATCTCATGACAAAAACTGTAAAAAAAATTCCCTCATAGCTCTCAATATCAAATGTTGCTTTTTATTTAGTGTTTGTCTGGTTTTCATCATGAAAAATATGTCGCTAACAACTATTTTCATTATAGTTATCGTTGACTAAATTTACATTGGTTATGCGCTTGCCTATAGTATGTGTGTACTCCTGCGTCCCCCCTCTCCATTTATCTGTCAGTGAGGACATCCTCCCACCCCTCATTAGTTGTTAAACACCGTTCATTAACATGTTTAATTAGGCTGTTATTAAACCATCTGTCTGTCTCACTGCCTGTTCACTCTTCTTTTCCTCATCTGTTCTCTTTTCATCTCTCCATTTTCATTTGGTGTTGCACCCCACTTTAGTGCCCCGCACCTATTTCCACATTAAGCAGGTTCCTTACTCTCCTCTATCTCCCTCCCTCTCTCCCTTCATCCTCTTGTGAGAGGAGTGAGTGAATACAATAGAGTTAATCACAGCCATTCAGAAGCTGTATCTCTGTCTATTCTCAGCATAGCAGAGGCCTGGAACACATTCACCTCATCTACATATCACCATGCAGCCAACACATACATGCAGTGCACGGCACATACACACTGAGCAAACACAACTACAACACATTTTCTACATCAGTTGGCATCTCAGTGTGACAACAAAATCAGTAACTGACTTGACATGAACTCAAAGGTTAGTATTTCTCCGTTGACTGTACAAAATAAATTAATACATTTGAACTTCAATCTCTGTGCTCTAAAGGGATTGTTATGATAATGAGGTTCATACTCAGTTAACTTGTTACAAAGCATCTGAATAGTGCTGGAGGTAATACTCACAAGTGGCCGGAGATCCGGGTGTGTGAGGATGTAGCCATTGTTGGTGATTGCAAAGGCGTAGCCATGAATGCCCAGCTAGGAGGATACACACAAACACAGACGCCAAATTGTAAATCCCAGCTAATCAAGTCCTTTGTAATTTTTATAGGCAGCATCTTTGTCTTTGCAGTGAAACTCACAGAACTGCATAATACAAGAAGATAGTGTCATTCATCCATGTCTGGAAAAATAACACACTTTCAAATGTCAAAACCTTACACCCAACCGAGGTTCAGAGCCACAACTAAAAGAAATCAGCAAAGTGGAAGTGGCGGGGGACACTGTCAGAATGCTTTGGTATACAGAATATGTATAATTTTCCTGTCATTACTGCAGTGAGTCAAGAGCGAGCCGTGAATAATCAGTGTCAAATCTTTAACAAAACCTCAGATTTATCTGCTGCTGCGTTTGACATTCAATTACTGCACCATGGAGTAGTGCTGGGTATGAATAAAAAATTAAGCAAAAATCTCCCACTTTTTTAAACTACTTGCATTCAGTTGAACTGAGCATTCATAAAGCTCAAACTTGTGATTCAAGAAACCTACGGCTTGGATTTTGACTATAAAAAGTGATAGAATGAAGGGGTATCCCATATGGGCACTCAGATCTAAGTATCTGTAAGGATAACAGAGTGCTGTCAGATGTGCTACCTTATATTTGGGGATCTTCTTGAGCAGCTCAGACACAGGCACATCTGTCCCAACCACTCCTAACAGGATGCCATGGTTTCTCTGGAAGCACACACAATACAAATATCCTTAAGTCATGTTTGAAAGATTACCTGCATAGCACAGTCTCTTACAAATCCACTGTTTATAATGGGAAAAAAAATCAGTCTGTAATATATATGCAATTAGTGATGCTCTACTGTATCCTCATTTACAAACTCCAATCAAACTGAAATTAGTGTCCGTCAAATACAAACATAATTAACATTATTTTGTAATTTGTGTATATTCTCTAGAAAAAACAATTCCACATGAGTAATTGCATAGTTTTTCAATTGCAACTACAAAAACAAGCTGGGGAATCATAATCATCATTGTAGCAAACAGGCTCCGCTGTTGGTTCTGCAGCTCTAAATATGAACTTACAGTTTCATTCTTGGTACTGAACACCGGCATTGCCACTGTGGTCATCAGAACTGGACCTTGACCATCTTCCAACTGAGTCATTAGAGATGAACAGCAAAAGCAGTCAAGAGGGTGAGAGAGAAAGAGACACAGGGAGGGAAAAGAAGGAAGCTAATGATAAAGTGTTACTGTTATAATTACAAAACAAAAATGATTGCTCAGCACACACCATGGCAACATGCATATCACATAAAACATATTGCTAAGTGATTATTTCAGGCTGCATAATGTCTGATCTTTAGAAGCACTGCAGTGGCAAACTGTTATGCCACAAGGTTGATGGTTTACAATTTATGATACATAATTTATATGTATTTACTTAGTCATGTCTGTTTTGATGAGCAGAAAGACAGCTAAGTTAATTCAGCTTTTAGGTTGGTTCATGATGGTGATGTCCAACCGCACCCTGAAAAGTTAATTAGCTGATTAAGTTAAGTTGGGTGACTTGGAACACAGTTAAGGATAGCAGAGTTTGTATTGTGTTTATTTTTAGAGTGACAGAGAGTTGAATGAGGCCAGTGAGGGTCAGACGTGGTCTAACTTGCCTTGAGCTCCTCCATGGCTTGCTGTCTGAAATGATTCGCGGTTCAAAAAATGCCTATTATAACCTTTGCTAGGTGGCAGATGGGGCTGATTTATTGACTGCATTTTGACAAGTCAATGTAGAGAAGCTGGAATAACATCAGAAAGGATGTAGGTAGCAGAGTGTCATAGAGGGGTGTAGTATAGCTTAGAGACATCATGTCTTGTCCCATTTTCTCTTGATTTATCAGACACGGGGCTCTCTATCTTCCTGCAATATGGCTCAGCAGCAAAATCAAGTCTACACTCCAGACAAAAGGTGAATATAGGTGTGTGCAACAATTTTTTGCAGTTTTGGTGCATTAGTGGATATTGGGATCAGCCAGGTACAACACAGGAAAAGAGGCTGAATACATTACTAGTGGGAGGAACACATTATGAGCAGCTGGAGTCGGGGTGGGCTTTAGTAATGGGCAGTCACACCAGCTCCTCTCTCTCCTTTAAAAGCATCATGGGAAATTTGACTCTTATCAATGTCACTGATGTCATTATGGCTAGAGAAACTTTGTCAAACAAACGTTTCACACAGGTAACCTGATATACTGTACTTGTCCATGAGGTGCAGTCAACACTGTTGGAAATATGAATGCGCGATGAAAGATTCTCTCCCTATATCTTCTTCTCCTACCAAATATTTGCTCATTTTTTAAAAATGTGATGAGAAAAATATTTATTGTAGAAGTATTGCACACATAATCACTCAGCTATCTGCTAATATCATATTTTGTGAATGAAGGAAAGACAGACTCTGGTGCGGCAACTAGCAGAAATTATATAGTGTAATTTACTCACAGCTTTTTAAAGACAAATAGTGCATCATGACAAACATCAGCTCTTTTAGACTATGTTCATATCTACAGACATATACTGGCCATTCTAATCATTTTATGTGAGTTCTGACTTTTTTCTGACTTTAAAACTGACTTTTACTAATGACTCAAAGATTTGAGCCTGGGAAAAACAGCATAAAGGAATTCTGCAGCACATCTAGTCACTTTGTCTTTTTGAGGGACCTACAGTAAGAAACCTCCATGACGTGTTATTCATGTTTACTATTTGCCTCTAGTTTGCATCTGAACATCCTCCTTCCCTAAAGACTGCTAGAATAATTACATTTATCTTTACAGTGGCTCTTTGTATCTGGCAAAGACATGCATTAGAGATGAAAGCTTGGCACTGTTATTAAGAGACTGGAGGAAGGCTTCATACTCAGCGGAAAGTGGTCTGACCTTGTCCACCAGAAATGTCAGAACTGTCTAAATGTCAGTCAATCCTGCAGATTGTGTTCAAGGCATATACAATTAAATGGTGCATTTCCTGAACCATGTACCCCAGTACAAAATCCACAGTGGCTAAGGTTAGAATGGTAAAAAGCATAAAGCATAAATCAAGCCACATTCTGTTGCAACAATCAATATTATCCCATTAGGTGCTAAAAGAAAAAACTGGCTTAAATATCAGAATTCAGATTCCGTTTTCTTAGGGAAATACCCCATTTATCCACTCCTCTCTCCTCTTGACTGAACATAACATGCTTCCTGTACACTCTCTTTCCTCTGGAATTCACTCCCTTTTTCCACTAGTAGTATTGGTAATGACAGGAAACTGCTCGCATCCATTCCGTCTTCGTCAAACACTGGAGAAAGGGGAATCAGTGACCTGAACTCAGATAGCTGATAATAACAATCCAGAATGCAGTACTGGACATCAAAGACAGAACAAAGCACAGCTGCAAACAGCTGCACAAACAATAGACAGCCTTGCTTCTGGGGAGGAGGATCGATCAAAGGGGGAAACAAACAGAGCCCCATATAAAATCTATTTCCAGCACGGGTCTAGTGGATCATATTCCATTGGACTGGAATTTATTGTATGACCCAATGAACTGTTGTTAGGAAGCCCCATCAAATATGTGCTCTTTGTACTTGAACACTAATCTGAGGTGCTTTATTAAATCTACGTGCATTTGGTGAGAATACAGCTTGCCCAGCTGCTCTTGGGGATGACATACTGTAATTAAGCAGATAACAAGAGCTGCATGAAGAAAGGCAGCCAGCCGCTGCATCTGTTGGATTCCGAGCCAATATCACAGCCACAGATGATCCTCACTTGTCCCCTTTAAACCTATGCTGAACAAGGTCTTAATGAGTGTCCTCCAATGTGACCATGTGCCATGTACTGGAGAGAGTGCACTGTATCTAGAATTTCATAGCCCACAATCTCTAATGCAAGGTCAGCACTCAACACACATTTGGGCCAAATCTGCATCATCACTGTCTCTGTGGCTTAATTTGTATCAGTCAAAGTAAATGAGGTGTGCAAGTCCTTTTCCCTGCAGTGAGTCAGAGAATGAAAAAGAGCTCCTCTAGGCTCGAATACACTGGCTTCCCACTGACACAAATACCCACACACCTATGCCCCTCAGACGGCTCAAACACAACCTTGCCCCGTGTTTGGAGTCTCAGAGGACATAGGTTGCTCTGGCAAACTATGTGCGCTTGTGGAACAGCTGACCCTTGTTACACCTGAGACCAAGCTTAATGATGTTGCTGTGGGTAAGTACCAGAGTTAAAGCTCCTGTGGGAAAACTGGAACGTGCCCCACACGGAGCAACGCACATTTTTACCACACAGATCTTTTGGGATTATTTATAAAACCTCTTATTTACCTTAATTAACATTTATTAACAGTTTGAAATATAAAACCTCTTATTTACCTTAATTAACATTTATTAACATTTGAGTTGTCAGTAATTTTATCACACCTGACTTTAACAACCCTGAACACTATTAGTCAAATTGGAATGTCAATACTGACTTCACCCTCAGCACTGTTGTTGTAATATGTGTTTTAACCAATGGAGGGCAGTATGGCTATGATGACAGCCATCATCACAAAGGTTAGAGCGCAGATACGCTCTGTTCAACACCTTGAGATGCTGGTGTTCAGGAATGTAGTGGATGATATACATTACATGGTGAATTTTCTGTCTTCTGCCATGTAGATGTGACTCTAAAGTTCTTTAACAAGTTATAGATAGAAACATGGTCATTTGCCCACTGAAGTGTTGTATGTTTTAAAATCAATTGTTCTTCAGTTCCTAAACTGAAAAATCTTTTTACCTTTTATAAGTATTCTGCCTGGATACAAGCATCTAGCAAAGCTTTCTTGCTAATCAATGTTTAATTTCTCTCTCTCTCTCTTTTTTTCCAGCCACATTTAATTTCCAGCAGTCTTTAAAGAGCGGAGGTGGAGCCTTGGGATGTTTGGGGGTGAGCTAAGCCTGGACAGCAGACAGCACGTGAGAGTGAACCTCAGATCTGGGGGTAAGGCCCACACCATGACCTGTGGAGTCAGAACAAAAATGTAGAGTTTTGCAGAGATTATTGTGACACAAAAGGGAACCTGCTTGGCCCTCTTTGCACATCATTGTGGTGTAGTAGTTTTCTCAGTTTTGTTTTGAATACTGAATTATGTATTCAGTGATTTTAAAATGGCTTTTTCCATTTGTCCGTTTCAATTGTCTGTGTGTGGTGATTATTGTATCTTCAGAAACATTTAGTTTAAATGTTGCACATATCACTTCTTCTGCTCTTTCTGCTTCTCATTTGATTTTTGATTTAATGTATAATAGCAATGTAGCTTTCCCGCCTTGTGCACACTCCCAGACACACTGAGTTATTACTCTACCTCTTCTGCATTTCTCAGAAGAGCTAAGGCAAACAGCTACTTGATTAATAAGTTAGGTCCTCTAAATATGGCTCTGAATCATGTATCTTTAAAAACTACTTAATAATGGTAATCAAGATGATCAACAATGTACCAATTACATCTTTACACTTTTCTCTTTTAATTATGCATAGCTCTCCTTCACTGTGGAAAAAGGGCTGCTTTCTTGGTCTCCGGTGGATTGTTCATCTTAAGTGTTTATGATGGTGTATTTGTATCACAGCTAAGCTACACTCCCTTAAAGTGTCAGTGAGTTAAACAGGGCCTGCACCACTTCTCTGTGTGAATCAACCACTATGGAGGAGTTCCAATGTTTTATTTATTGATATGTTTTAATGGGGGAAGACCTACCATTCATTATCATAAAGGCCTCTAGACATCAAGTCACACACAAAAGACCCACCCACTTCACAGTCTCACACACAGATCCACACGAGGAGCAGGCCGCTTTGCTGTAGCAACTCCTCACCAGCAACCATTGGTAGCTTCAATGACAGAAGCTGACAGTGTCAAAGTATCTTTGTCTCTCTCACATAAACTGTCCCTGAAGCTGTCATTGTGAGAGAGATGTAAAACACAGGCTTTTTGTCTCCATGGTCACTGAGTTAGTCAAGAAGCTTATCGAGGACAAGGCACCGGGGGTGGATGAGATCCGCCCTGAGTACCTTAAGTCTCTGGATGTTGTTGGGCTGTCTTGGTAGACACGCCTTTGTAACGTCGCATGGCGGTCGGGGACAGTGCCTCTGGGCTGGTGGTGGTGGTCCCTCTTTTTAAGAAGGGGGACCAGAGGGTGTGTTCCAACTATAGGGGGATCACACTCCTCAGCCTCCCCGGGAAAGTCTATGCCAGGGTACTGGAGAGGAGAATTCGACCGATAGTCGAACCTCAGATTCAGGAGGAAAAATGCAGTTTTCGTCCTGGCCGTGGAACACTGGACCAGCTCTATACCCTCTTCAGGGTGGCAGAGGGTTCATGGGAGTTTGCCCAACCAGTCCAC